CTTATTTTCTCCACAGATTTCAAAATTTTAAGCACAAAAGGCTCTACCTTATAAACACTATCAGAATTACTAAACCAGATGTTGATTTTTATGCTACTAAACGTTGACAAAAATATTTAAGGTAACTAAACACTCAAAGAAAGCCCTGTTCAGACTCTGGGATAGAAGACTTGTCATCACTCAGGGAGAAGAGCTCCTGACATCATGGAGTCAGCATGAAGTGATGAACTCATGTGCTGAAAAGTCTCAGCAACACAGAGAAATTCTGGAGATTTTAGGGAGTGGAATGTACAAAGGAACAAATACAGTTTGAGAAGAAGAGAGCCATTTCTACCATTCATCTGTTTCAGTGGTGCCATTCAGAGTAGCTTTGTAAGAAATGGAGAGAGAAAAAAAGTCTTATAAATTCTCAAAAACCTTATTTTTGACATGTCTATGCACAATTCACTGTTTTCCAAAGCTTTGAAGTTAGCCATGAATGACTTACTAATGTGAACCCATAACAAGGGGTTATGGGTTCATAACCTGATTGAATGCCCTGTTCAAAACTCCATATCCTTAACAGAATTGAAACACTGAATTTTCCCCACTCAAAAACCATCTGAGAACGAACTGAAGTAACACATACAAGTAACTTGGCCACGTGGCAAATACATGATTTTTGAAGCTCTTCTGCAGTTCTTTCAATAATTTAAATCCAGCAGTGTTTTAAATAATAGGAAAAAATCTCATAATACTAAGTGTGAGACAATCTTAGCTCCAAATGTTGCTACCTGAGCTATAATAAAGACACCAATTTCTTGTGGTGTTATAAAGATGTTATTTTCTCTTGCATTTGCACTACTTTCCAAATCACTTTGGAGTACAAATTAGAGCTTTTCCCCCCAGTACCTTACACTTTGCACAGTCACTTAAACAGGCATAAAGAGAGCACTAATGGGTGTAATTCCCCATTTGCTTCACACAGGTATAAAGGACTCCTCAAGCAGGAGCAATGAAGGATCACACCCACTGTGCTGATTCAATCACTTAAGTACAGTGTACATTCCCCCTGGCTATGCTTCCTGCCACGACTAATTCCTTCTATTGAACCTTTGGGACCCAGGCCAGCACATCTGCACAGATGGTTCCTCAAATCAGGAATTCACTTCCCTACCCTCTAACAGGGCCCAAATCCTGGTATTCAAATCTCTGTGTCACACAAGTGTAGGTTAGGAGGAAGATGAAAATTTCCAAAGTTCATACAGGCTGCTATGAGCCTGTGTGAACTAGGATGGAACAGGACTGTGCTTGCAAGGCTTTACTAAAGTCACAAGCACTGAAAACTGATGCATGGGTCTAATTTTCAAATTATCTCCTACTCTGGAAATGACTCAAGGTCCATGCACTTCCTCTTTGTGCCCCAAGAAAAATACTCAACTTCCCATTCAGTGTGGCAGCATGAAGATGCTGTGTCTCATGTCAGAACACTGCTCTACATCTCTTGATCTTTCTCTTGATCTTCCAAACATAATTAGGAGGAATAGGCACTTAGTAGAAAATGTGAAATGAGCATTTATACATGAGGACCTGGATACCATTTTCCTGAGGGATTACATTCTGGTTTAATTATATGTCATTGAAGAAATGGGTTAACTTGCTATTGTATCTTCAGATGAAGAAGACAATGTCTGTCTATATGAAGATACAAATACAGGTTCCTACAGAGGAACAGGGGAAATGTGTGTATTCAAAGAAAGAGAGGAAGGGCCTAAATATATGAAGGATCAGTTGCTGTGCTCCTCAGTGTAATAAGATTATTTTTTCCATGGAAGTTTTGTATTTGTTTAAAAATTGAAAATTATCGAGGTGTTATTTTCTGGACACATGTAATAGAAATATACCTCAGAATGGACAGTAGGAATTAATGTCTGTGGTGAAAGGATAAGTAACCCAAAATCTTTTCATTAGGATGCCAAATGTTGAGTACTTAAGTATGTTGTCTCACAAAGATACTGCCAGGTTGCACTATCATTCATTTCCAGAAAAATCTGAAAGTGTATTATTGCTCCAAAGAGCAATCTGGCAGTCTGAGGAGCTTTCTTGCTTCAGCAGACAATATTGGACAAACAAGAGCCAGAGCTCAGGAAAAGAGGATGAAGTAATAATGAAAAGATTATCAATTTGCAAAGTGAGGACTAATAAATGACATTGTGCTGAGGATCAAGTCTGGCCATTTTTTACTGAACCAATGTCTTAGTTTGACAGCTTCATTCAGGCATCACACCAGGAGTGAAAAATCACCTGAGGCACAGAGATAATCGGAAAATAGCAGAGTATTTAAGCTGGTCTCAGCCACAGAGCTGAGAAGTGCATTAATAGAGTCAGAAAATAAGCCAAATATATATAATAAATGGGGCTGGGGAAAGATTCCATCATGAAAGGTGTGATTAAAGCAAAGTACTGTCAAGCCCGTGTTCCACAGGGGACTTAATGCATTTGACATTTTGGATGTATGTGTTGTGACAACTGAGGCTGAATCCTAAACTTCACATCTTAGGTCTTGCATTATTTTGTATGTTCCAAATACTTTTGTTTTTTTCAAAATCTCGGAAGACCTGCTGTTATATCATTCTGACATCACTTAAGTAAACTTGGCAATCCCAGCAAGATATTTCTCTGGAGCAGCCCACAGCTTAGTCCTGTTTTTCTTATCTCATTATTTTTTCCCAGTTTTCCCTGGCTGGCAATTGGGTACATGGGGCTTTTCACTCACTCCCCACCCACCACCCCTCCCCAGTGGGGAGGAGAATCAGAAAGAAAAGATAAACCTCATGGGCTGAGATAGGAACACTTATTAATTAAAACAAAATACTACTATTATTAGAAATATGCAAATAACACTAATTATTACTGTAACAATATGGGAAGAAAGCGACAGAAGCCAAGAGAAGCAGGTGATGCACAGTTGGTCACAACCAAAGACTGATATGCCCAGCCTGTCCCTGAGCAGTGAGTGGCAGCTCCCAGCCCACTCCCTCAATTTATGCACTGGGCAAGACAACCTAGGCTGCAGAACATCCCCTTGGCCACTTTGGGTCAGGTGTCCTGCCTGTGTGCCCTCCCAGATTTTTCTGCAACTATTCTCCTCAAAACATGAGACAGAAAATTATTTAACTTTAATTATTTAACTTTAATAAGTAATTTTAAGTAATTTAACTTACTAGGGTAAGGACTGCTTAGCAACAACAAACATTAGTGTGGCATCAACACCATCCTCATGCTAAATGCAAACACAGCTCTGTGCCAGCTACTCAGAAGAAAATGCACCCTGTCCCAGACAAAACCACAACATATTACTTCAAGGCTAGAAGAGATATTAAGTAAATTACAGAATTATGGACTTGCTTTGTCTTGGCAGTTCCTAAATTCCATTTGTTTTTATTACTTTTACCTTGGAAAAGAAGTCATCTGTACATTCCACTTCCCAAAACCCCAAGAAAGAAAACATTCCTTTATGCAGTGCTACTGATGAGTGGTGGTTTTTTTGGTAGGTTGGTTGGACTTTTTTGGTATATGAAGGACATGCACATATGCATGTTAATGCATAGTTATCTGTGAGGGAAATAATCAGACTGTACTAATTACAATTGTTTGCTCATATTCAGAGGTATCACCTTATAAACTGCAAATATAAAATCTGGGGGTTTATGTTTTTGGTTTAATTATAACATAAAATAATTAAATTAAATCCAGTTAATCCCTGGAATATGGACATTCAAATTAAAAAAATAACAAAGAAGCACCAGTTGAAAAATATCTCTGAAGTTTCTCCTGTGGTCAGGTTCAAAGGGATTATTCTGGAGGAAATTTTAATTTTAATTATGGCAGAAAAGAGGGAACTCAATGTTAACTAAAGGCACTGATCTAAGCAGAACTTGCATTAGCCACAGAGACTCTTTGATAATACTGGAAAACTACCTTACTCTGCATTTGCAAATCATATTCTGTTTCCATTAGAGACTTCTCTGGGCTGCATTTCACTGAATTGCAATGAAGTCTTTGTAGCCTGGGGTTCTGTAGTTCCTTTGCAATCAAGATTTTTCCCAGGAGTGATGTAATCTGAAGTAAAGATAAGAACTAGGGTTTTTTTTTTAGTTTAGAAAAAAAACCCCACAACTAAAACCAACAACCTCAACCCAACAAAACAAACAAAAAACCCACAAAAACTATTGGTAGTCAACCAACAAAAAATAACCAAAAACCAAAAAACAAGTCACCAGAAAACAAACCATATCAAAAACTGAAGCTTTGTTGTGTCCCTGAACCAGATGGAATTTACTTAATCATTTGAGAGGGGAAAAGAACCTGAAAAGACAGTCATAAATAAGAATGAATAAGAATGAGGTGTGATGTACATCTGAGTAACTCCAAGCCCAGCTTTTGGGGTCACTTAGAAAATGTGGGTTCAAACCATTTTAGAGGAGAAAATTCAGCAGAAGGTCTGCAGGCAAATAAAAAAATTAATTATTGACACAGCATAGCCCTGAAGAATAGTTAAGAACATGAAAAATTTAGGAAGTACATCTGAAAGCATGCAACACTTGTGAGTGGAGCTGGGAGCACTCTAATGGACACACAGAGAATAGAGGGAGGCTGGACTCCCACCTTATCCTGGGCTGCTGCAAGCAGATCATACCAGGCAGGTCTGGCTATGAGGAATGACTTGGGTAGAAGTGATGCCATGCAAGGCAGTTTACCCTTGAAATCACACAGCAAAGTTACCTGAGTGAATATGCACAACTGTTTGTTTTCCTTGTGTGGAAGATCCATGGGTTCTTGAGCTTCAGCTGTGTAGGAGAAGATGTATGTGTGTATTTGTCATCTGTATATCTGGTGAATCAGTTTAATATTTATTCACACACCCCCCAGACATGGAATAGGAAACACCTAGCTCTTACATGCAAATTTTGTTTGTTCTCTAATGTATTATTCTATCTTGTCCTGCTTTTGTTTTACAGGAGACTATGTAGTCATGTCTGTCTTCTTTAACCTGAGCAGGAGAATGGGTTATTTCACTATTCAGACCTACATTCCCTGCACACTTATTGTTGTCCTGTCCTGGGTCTCTTTCTGGATTAATAAGGATGCAGTTCCAGCCAGAACATCACTGGGTGAGTTTATCTTTCCTGTTTCCTTCAAGCATTATGATGTTTAATTGACATCTCTGCAGATCATCAGTCTGTAAATATAAGAACAGACAACTTCACATGAACTCTCCTCATTTAGAGGAATGCAGTCATTTCCAGGGCATGACACAGACTGGCTATATTTGCATCTCTTCCGTTTCACGATGTCAGATTCTGACTGTTGTAGATTGTCAACAATAAAAGCTTTCACATTCTTTCTGATTACAGCAGTACTTTTTATAAACATCAAGGGGGTAGGGACACACAGCTGGATTAGAGGCAGGATGAATTAGTTTCACTTGTTCTACTTCCATATCATGGCGACTAGCACCACAAATTAAATAATTACCAAGAAGAAATCCACCTTTCTGGCTGTATGTCCAAGTGGTAACAAGGGGAGAATATACCACCATGACCACCTTAGAGACCAACAATCAAATGTAGACTTCAGGCAAAAAAATCAGCTGAATTTGGTGGTATCCAAAACCTTATATATGAAAATGTGGCATGCAATTAATCAGAATTAGAAATTTCTACACATTTAGCAGCTGCTCCACAAATAAACTGAGACCAAATTAATCTTGCTTGTGCAAAGCAGCTGTAACAGTAAGAAATAACAAAGCAGAAACATTTAGCTGGAGAAACTTTAACACATTTTCTACTTCTACATTAAATCCGCACAAGTGAGAATTACTTCAGTTTTTCCTTCTGCACTTTCATTTTTTCACAGAATCACAGCACAGAGCACTGGAGTGTAAAATAGGGGACACAATCTTCATTCCCTAGAAAGAACAAAACAGAGGACCAGTGGCTTCCAGAAGAGAAAGCTTTAAGCATTTTATTGTGGGTTTTTTTCCCATCCTCTTTAAAAAGAGGTTATAATGTCTGCTTTAAAGAGGTACAAAATTAATAAAGGTTATAAAGCTGTTATTTTGAATTTTACCTAGATACAAAAACCAGACTTGTCCCTCTGCTGAGAATTAGTCTATTTGCACCACAAAGAAGGTAAAACCAACAGTGTGAAAGTTGCCATATAAAATGTGGTAGATTTTAAATGTTCTGATGCATTTTTAGCATTTTTCACATCACAGGCAATAATGTTCTGAAATGGAAGGGATGGTGAGGCATGTCACAGTACTCTTGTAGATCTTTCTCTTGCTCTAAGCATTTGAACACATAAACACTAAACTTATATTTTCAAGAAAAATAAAGACTTCCCAGAAGTAAACTACAAAACCTTAAATTAAATTTCTTAGAATTCATCTAACCAAAGTATTCTAGAGAGCAGCACTGGCAGTGACAATGCAGAGATGTTGCATACCCCTTTTAGTCCCCAAAGCTCTCACTGAATTGGCATTTCACTTGCTAGAATGTGCTACTGAATATCTTTGCTGTTTGTTTGAACTCCAGGCACTCTTCAAAACCAGAGAGAGATAACAAACAAAATCAGTTTGCTACTTGAAGTGATATTATTTCTGTTTTTTTTCCTATCTATCTATAGGAATTACAACTGTCCTGACAATGACCACCCTGAGCACAATTGCTCGTAAATCTCTTCCCAAGGTCTCCTATGTGACAGCAATGGATCTCTTTGTGTCAGTCTGCTTTATTTTTGTGTTCTCTGCACTGGTGGAATATGGAACTTTGCATTACTTTGTCAGCAACAGAAAGCCAAGCAAGGATAAAGACAAAAAGAAGAAAAACCCAGTATGTATCTTTCTACCAGCAAGGCCTAAAATTTAATTAGGTTTTCTGAGAGAGCATTTAAATACCTCTTTATAACTGTACCTTTTTTTCATACTTTTCTATTACATATATACCTGTCCTTTGTAACAATAGGACTGCAAACATTCACTTTGAGAATCAAAAGCTCATATATTATATTACAATTTTCTGGATGCCAGAGGAACCAATTTATTAGGATAAAAGATCTTTTTAACTAAAGTGTTCTGCATACCACAACTACCAAAGCCATTATTTATGCTGTATACAGATCTCTTTATCAAAAAGATCTCAGTTTCTCTGTCTTAATATTTGCAAATTCTATGCCATTAACTTGTGTCCACATTATTGACATGACTATAGTTAAACTTTTATATTCAAACTTTGGTGTGTGCTTTTTCCAACTTCCCCTTAAGCATCTGTTTCCTTTCTATTTGTTCCCTTAAATTCTTTTTTTTATATTCCTTATTTAACTACTGTGCCTTAGAATGTGATTTTGCAGTAGTTTATAATGATACTTATGGATACATGCTACCCAATAGTAAAAATAATGTATATAATAGTAACAATAAAAAAATCCTGGAAATACCCTCAGTAGTGCTTTTGGCTTTTTACCAGACAGGGAAAGAATTTTATGCCTATTTTGTCCAGGACAGATTTCTCCTTGCCTTTGGCAACTGAGCTGACAAATGTGTTATCTAGAATCTCTAGAACATTTAGCCTAATCATCTACCAGAAAAAAAAAACCCAAACAAAAACTCCAAAATCCAAAACACCCCCATAAAACAAAAAACCCAACAAACAAACAAACCAACCACAAAAAAAAACCCCTTCAAACAACCAACCAAAAAAATAAAAAAATGGAAAATCTGAATGAAAAATATTATACATTAATAAAGGGTATTTTCAGCTGCATTTCAGGCATCTAACACAGAATAAAGGAATTTGGATCTGATCTCCTAAATTATTCAAGGACTTCTGAAGATACTATCTTCTAGTTTTAAAATACATCACAAAAATAGCTATAGAAAAATAGCAATTAAGGAACCTTTCACTACATACTAATCCTCTTTTCAAGCCTAAAAGCTGCTGAGAGGTAGACTGTAAAAATCAAGTAAAATGACAAAGTGATGTGTCTTGTTTTAGGTGGAAATAAAAGTGTGTATGTGTGTCTTATGCAGTGAGATAAAGGTTTAAAATTAAATGCACCTCACATTTACTTGTTTCACTTTAAGGTGTCCATATAAGGACAAATAACTTGTTCTTTACATTGCTTATCTGTGAGCATCTGGAAGGAAACAGAACTATAAATGTTTGCCTGTATCCTAATCATTGGGTCTAAAAACCTTAAAAATACAGTATTGGGCACAGTCTGCAGGTAAAAGTCTTCTTTCTAAAAAAGTGATTCTATAAACTGTGAATGGTCTCTTTCAAAACAGTTCAGCATAAAAGACTAGAATCCCCTCAGGATATGAAAACCTAACAGGAGTTTGATATCTTATGTCTTTGGCCCAGATGTAAACAAGAAGATGACAAGTTGAAAATGTGGGGGATTTTATATACTTGTTTAAATTGCTGTAATCCCAATCTTTCTATAAATTTAGTTCTTTTTGACTTACCGTGTTTTAGAAACATATTTTTAATTTACATTATTTTTGTCTCTTTCTTTCCTTTCTTTAATTTAAAACAAAACCCTCTTCCTAATTAAGTAGAATGGTTACAAATTTCTGAACAATTTGTAAAGTTGATTCAGCAGCCCAAATACCAACGCACTTTGGTTCTGAACTTACCCAAGTTCAAGAGTGACCAACATTATTGGATCTCATTAATTAAGAGAGTTTAATGCTATAACATTTCTGCTCCTCTCTCTCAATTTGCCATGGGATCCAATGGCACCAGCTATCCTAAAAGCTGCAATATATCCTGCAATACACCCTTTTAGAACTCAACTCTGACCCTGGATTTTCAACCTTTGTGATTTCGCTCCTAATTGTAAAACCAAATCTGTTCTGATGTTGACCTGAAAAAGACTCAATGTCACCATCAATTACTCAAATGCTGTTTGTTATGCAAAAAAACAGTCAGAGTTTTGAAAGGGTTTAAGATGCATATAGATATTTAATGTTGTCACTGGATCAACACATTTAGAAAATTAGCAAATGTGTCTAGCTGTGTTCCACATCAAAACCTTATCTCCATTCAGAAATGCAGAGATTTTATTAAATTAAAAAAAAAAAAAAAAAAGTGGGGGGTGTAGGGGGGTGAAGAAACCACATGAAATAAATAACATTATTTACATACTTATGGAATGGAATTGTTATGTTTCCCTAATAACTATCATCATGAAATTTCAGTGCTTACCATCCTAGTGTTCACCCATTGCTCAAATGTGTTTTAAAAGCTTAACTTGCTCAATTCATTCTAAATATATGTATGTAGATGTACAGTTACTATATAAAATTTGAAACATGTTGAACCTTCTAGTTGGTGAACATTAGTAGGTGGTGAGCTGCATATATTCAAATAATTGGAAAGTCTTATATATATTCTCATAATCTTATTCAAAAGACCCAGTTTTTTCCTTTTCCCTGTGTATACATATTTCCTTTTTTCTCAACATGAACTGTCCCTTTTAAAATCCTGCATTTCCAATTGATTTAGTTCCTTTCATATGCAATATAGAACTATCAAGCAGCTACATAAACCATAAAACAAAAATTCAAAACACTATCAATTACATTCCTGGATGTTTCATTTAACCTCTCGTATTTATTCAGTTTAGCTTTGAAGCTAATTGCCCATAGCTGTTAATTTTAGATTGATTTGTGTTGCTTTCCTCTAAAGGGTATGATGCAACTGATTTTAATAAGTTCAAGGTAATATTGCCATTAGAACAGCTTAGCAATTTCCCATGTAACCCCTGCAGAACCATCATGATGACTCTCATCCCCCCGCTGGTCCGGTGATAATAACAAAGTTTCTCCCTCTACCATCTCTTTCTTTTTTTGCTACTCCACCTTAGGCACCTACTATTGACATCCGCCCCCGATCAGCTACTATTCAAATGAACAATGCTACTCACCTCCAAGAAAGGGATGAAGAATATGGGTATGAGTGTCTTGATGGCAAGGACTGTGCCAGTTTTTTTTGCTGCTTTGAGGATTGCCGGACGGGAGCGTGGAGGCACGGCAGAATACACATCCGCATTGCCAAAATGGACTCCTATGCCCGCATCTTCTTCCCAACTGCCTTCTGCTTGTTTAACCTGGTGTATTGGGTATCATATCTGTACCTTTAAAAGCAGTAGGAAATCAGTGATATGAGCCTTACTCACTGAATTTCTTTGAGAGATGGTTTCCTAAATCCACTTGAAGTATTTATGATGCGCTTTATAGTGGTCTGAATTCTTTAGTGCCATAATCCCGTAAAAATCAGTCATATCATTTGTCCAAAAATTGCCATCGGGTCATTGTGAATTACATGTCCATTCCACATGCCAAAATAATTTAAAAATAAATCATGCCAATAGGTAATATACACCTATACCTTCTGGAATAGATAGAAACAGGGCAGACAGGGCAAGGGGAGCACAGCAACAACATAATAGTTGACACTGTGATTCCAAACAGGAGTGAGAGAGAGAAGAATTCCCAGGTAAAGTGCTGTACAGTTTGTTAACACTGGCTATAATTATGCTATAGCTTTATTCTCTGTGGGCTTTTCTTTTTGGAAGAGTCATCTCTCACTTTGAATAGGTATTATTAAGCTAGGAAAATTAACTTCTACTCCCACCAAAATGAAAACAGACCTTTCCCTTTGCCATCCCTTTAAGAGCACATGTACAATGCTGTAAATATTTCAATACCTTATAGTACGTAAAGTCTAGTGCATGCATCTTTTGGGGGCCAAAATAAATGAAAAAAAGGTACCATAAAGTTTTGTCTTTTATTTTGTGTCTCTGGATGTGCTATTGTAATTGAAATGTGGACAAACCTAATTTTCTTTTTTTTCTTGAAAAATTGCCCCTCTCCTTCATGCATGGAAGATCCAAGCAGACAGCACTGTCATGCAAGATATTAGAGAAGCCTTAAGGATTCAACTAAATAACATATAGACAAATCTGTATGGCCAATATAATAGCTCATAAAGTGTAATATATGTGTCCTCTGCAGTCGTAGACTTCATTTCCCATTGATAATGTTGCTATATTTCAACTGAATCTCCAGTAATTATACATTGCAAGATCAGCTTCCAAATTAAATCCATGTGCTTCTATTGTTCTTTTCCTATGTTGAGCTCCACTTTTGTCCTTACACAAGTGTTTGTGGGGGTCTTTTATTCTTTAATCTAGTACAGGAAATAGCTTTTATTCTAGACAGTTTTTTTACATAAGAGCTTCAAGTTAATTTCAAAACATTAGTCCTTCTATTGTATATACACACACACACACACACAATTCTCTGCCCATTCATGTCTTTAATCAGCAATAGTTGTTGTCAGTGCTGCTTTCACTCAGTGAGTACCTTTATTAGAACAAACCTTTACCATGGCTAGCACAGGGTTTATAGATAGCCTTGAAAATGGAAGGGAACAGAGTGTGTCCTGGCTACTAAATCACACGTATGAAGTTATGTAAGTATTTAAAACCTTCAGCCCACCTGGGTTAATCTTGAAAACCACTGGTTTTCAGAACCTGTATGATGCTCAATTATGCAACCTTAAGCACATGTAAATATGACTGACAGTTTTGGGGTTTTTTTTTTCAATTGTCAAAGATGCAAAATGCCACCTCCAGAAAAGTGGGCTTGAGGCTTGAAAAGGGAGACCTATAACTTATCACTACAGAATTATTATTAATTTAAATGGAGGAAAAGGAAAGTTTTCCAATGTTTGTATAGTTTTGGAAATAAAAATGTATAAAAAAGGAATATCTCTTGATCATCAATTGCTCCTAGTCCAATGTATTTGAAAACATTTTAATAAAGGAATTGCACACACCTGTGGACTTTTTCAATAAAACTGCTGCACTCAACTCCAGTTTTTCTGTGATGACTTTGTTAAAAGCATGCTTTGAGAGCTAGACAGCTTGACCAGCTGGGTTCATTAGATGCCTAAATATGTGATATATTATAATCCTATTAACCCTCTGCATTATCTCATTTTGTAGTCAAATGGCTCACACATAACTTTCAAGAATGAAGACTAATTCTATGAAGGTTATCTTATTATAAAATAATATTTTTTTAAAAATCACTGCATTGGAAGTACTGTAAAGAGAAATAGCCTCCCATTATCTACTTAGAGAGTCTCCACTATCTGAATGAGTGTCAGTCACCTTTCACATGAGAAGATGTTTCAACTGGTACCAGACTGATTTCTAAATTTTTTTTCCCAGTAGTGAGTGATTTAGGAGCTTTTTTTTTATTTTCTTGCAGTTAATATGAGTGACTAATATTATACATTTAAAGTTTCAATTTTTCCCTGCTCCCATACAGGTTTTATACACATCACTATGAAACTTATCCCAAACCAGCCCTTTAATATCCTCAGTCCAAGTGCATTTAGTTTAGCCATCAAGTTACCTGTGCCTAAGAAAACCTGCAGTACTGATGAATCAGATGTAATAACGAGGAACAAATGATCCAATCCCTCACTTGTGCAAGTTTGGCTTCTACTTCCAGCAAGGGAGGTGTTAAGAATTGATGTATCCCCACCTAAATAATGCAAACCACACAAACTGGAGACGTGTGCCTTCGGGAGGCGAATAAACTTTTCTCACCATATATCATGACACAGAGTAAATATGACCCTAATCAGTCATTACCCAAAACTTCTCTCCTGCCACATATATTGAGGGGATTTGTCATTTCCTCCTGGGGAAAATGGACTGAAATCAAAAGGATGGTTCATGGAGAAACATGTAATTCCCAGTAAGAAACTGACACCAAAGTGCAATCTAGTGCTAAGTGTTCCTCTAACAGGGATTATTTTAGCTATTCAATACAGAAACAAACCTTTGTGTTGTAATGTCAGAACAGTAGAAAAAATAACATTTGGGTGTGATAAGTGTTACTATTTAGAAGAAAACTGCCCAGAAGCCTATATGTCTATATAGACACATTCACACATACATATTATAGAAAATATTATGCTAATATATACATTATACATACAAACTCTCCCAGTTGTATTCCAGGAAAGAAACTCATTCCTGATGCACCAGGCTTGCTGAGATATTTTCAAGCTCATCACACTGGAAATAAACATTACTGCTCTGGGATGTGTCTGAGGGTGTTCAGATTGGCATTGCAAGTTTTATCAAGTATACTCTAGTGGCACAATTATTTACTTGCTATTTATATTCCAAGAGTATGCAATATCCTGACCAAGACAAGAAACTGTTGTCCTAGGGATTATACCAAAAGGACACCTTGAAAGCATTTATAAATCTTTATACATCTATAACATTTACAAACCCTGGCTGTAAATAAAGAGCTGGTATTCAGGGAGATCACAAGACTCAACAATAGTTCTCCTTTTTTATATGTTAGCCAGCCCCAAAAATATATATATATATATTGCCAAGCAAGTATGGAATAATTTTAGCCTCTGTACAATTAAAAAATGCGAAAGATAGACATGCACACTAAAAAGGGGGAAAATAATCAAGGAGTCTTTTTAAAAATCCACTCCATTTCTACCTCATTTTCCCACAGTTATATAAATTTATATCATGGTTGGCCCAGCAACACTGTGTGTCAGTTTCACTGACACAGCTATTGCAACAACTATTGGATGTTAAATATTTAGATGTCCTTCCACCTGTGCCCCCAGAGCCCTTCAGTATTAAAATGTGTAGAAAAAGACAAAAAGTATACTAATAAAATAACTAGGCAAGTGAATAATGTCAGAAAAAGAACAAGAAAGCTCTGTTAACTGTGCAGATTTTAGTGGATAGCATTGTTTTATACGGAACAAAAAATATTTTGGAAAATATTTTGGATTGGAATATTTTGGATTATCTGTTTTACCACCAAATCTGGGTTTTGTAGGACCATGGCAGAGATGGACTGCAAAAAAAGGATTGGAAGATGATAAGCAAGGACTTTTCCAGGCTTGCTGAAGAGTTTCTCATGCTTCTGAGAAAAGGTAAGGCAATGTGAAAAAAGAATTTGTGGGAGAATTTTGTAGTTAAGGAGAGAAACTGAGGCTTGGATATGACACAGAGGCTGAAGTCAATATTAAACTGATCTGCTCTATCCAGGCTGCAGCTGAGAACTGGATTCGATGAGCAAGCAAAAGAATTTGTACATTAATGGACAAAAGTGGCAGCCCAGAGCAACAAGGTAAGATGGCAAATTAGAGGTGAAATTATCTCCAGAAAATAATTTTCAAGGCTGAAATAATGAAGGTTGCAGTTCTCTGAACTTTAATAGAGTACCTTTGGGATTTGGGCTTCATATACATGCATGAAGGGTCAGATTTTAGTGATGCCATGGTATAAAGTAAATGTTAATTGGAAATTAATAGCTACAAGATGAGGTCTTCACGAAAAATAAAGTCTGTTCGTGGGCTTCTGCAGTTGAGGGTCTAAAGCCTGTTATTTAAACTAAGGGATCATCCAAGGCAGAACCCAGTAGTAAGAGTGAAGAAAAGAAGAAAAGTAAAATATGAAGAGTCCATTTAAACACAACCTAATTACAGCCCAAGGGACAAAATAACATTTTAGAAACCAAGTGTTTTCTTTCAAACAAAATTTCAATCTCTTTGCTGAGAATTTAATTAAATCTTATTAAAAGCTTCACAGATAAATCAATTTATTATACCCATGAGAGATCTATTGTTCCACTTACAAAATTAAAAGCCAATGCACTTTCCCCTTCTTATTTAGAATGGTTTTGTAGATGAAAAGATTTAGACTTCCTATTTACACATTACTGTGAGGCTTTTTCTTAATGTCAAGATTTACAATGAAAAACACACCTGTTGAATATGTAAAAGAAAGCTCATGACCTTTAAAAGATCTTCAACAACTGACATGAACTAAAAGCTTGCTTACAAGTCAGCAAACACATTTGAATAATTAATTCCAGAATGTCAAATTACTTCACAAAAATATATTAAAAAGGGTTGTCTTTCTTGTGGGAAAAATACCCAGACTACAGTAGGCTAGATTGGATAAGACATTCTCATTTGGATTCACATAAAATTAATACTGATTATCAAAATGAGAAAAGGGAAAACAAGAACTAAGAAAATATTAATATAGCTTTAATTCAGCCAGGATGAAAAACATTAGAAATATTTGTATTTCCACCAGAAATATGCTTTTGCATATTGAAATCTATATCTGATGAGATTTAATCTGCCATCACTGTCTTTAGAATTTTCAAGTATATGCTATAAGCCTAACTATAGATTCAGTTGTTTTGCTGTGAGAAGCCTAACCTTAATTTACCCATAGAACAAAAAAGAAGAAACCGCAAAACCACACAAAAATGCCATCAACCTCACCCAAAAAAGGCTCCAAATCAAGACTTCTCATTTCATTGCTAAAATGAGACACAAGCACAGAGACATCCACATAGCCAATATATTTACAAGATGTCTATAAAAATAACAAATCAGTCTATAAATCCCTTAAAAGTCAGACAGAGAGCATTTAGCACAGCTGGATACTTTGCTGTATTAAAGAACAAAAAAAAAAATAACAACCCCCATGTAAATTGACTATGCTTTTACTAAGATAAAAATAAATAAATTTAAAAGTCTCTATGTTTATATTGACAAAACAATGCATATCTATAAACTCTCAGGAATCATTTCAGTGCTTTCCAGAGAACTAGAAGGGAAAGACTAGACAGAGAGTTTTAGCTCCCCTAAAATTTCACCAACCTATTCTGATTTCAAAAGCTTTTCTGCTTCTCATTCTGGTTCTACTTATATCACAGCTCTTTAATCTGCTGCCACAGTGAGATTCCTTACAGAAGAGAGCCCTTTCCTTGTGCTCTTTCCAGCTCCTTTGCCCTCAGTTACATTCACCTGAATTTGACGGCTTCCTGCTGATTCAGCAGTTCTGCATCTTTCTTGCACAAATGCTTCTGTCCTAAAAATCACCACCCACAGTTTCACATAAATCATTCCATTTCAACCCTGAAAAAATACTGCAATTTGAAAAATATTACTTCTAAAGAAGCTGGAAATGAAATCATAAAGTTAATGGACTTGATATCAGGAAACAAAAAAGAGGTAAGACAGACCAATTCATAACTTCAAGCTCACCTTTATTTTTATTGCCTTCAGTAGAGCTGATGCCAGCTCTTGTTAAGGCCTATCTCTCTATGCTGAATTTCTCAGAGACTGAGCACACTGGCACAATCTGCAGTCTCTGATAACATCCAGATGTGGCATAAATCATAAACCATACCCTCCCTGTACCAGAGCTGTCCTGCTAACCTCAAGCACCTCAGGATCCTGCCTACAGCTGCTGAAGCTCCTCGAGTATTTCTGGAAAGCAAAGACAATGGCCATGCCAAAACAGATGCCATTTATTCTTTCAGACTTCAGGTAACACTTTCTCATATTTTTGGCTGGTCCAGGACCTTTGCCAGTTTCTTAGGAGTCTTCAGCAGTTCTGTTGGAGAGTGATACACTGGCCAATCTACCCTTGGGAGATTCTCAGCATCAAAGAATCAGAGGCAGAGTCTATACAGGCATGAGAGAAGGGAGTTTATTATATGTTTTGTTTGAATGAAGATAAAATATTTTTTCTTCAGCTCAAATATTTAGCATATAGAAGAAATAAGTTTAAAAAATGAAAACACTCCACAAAATGAAACTGCAGCAAAACCCACTTAAGAAATATCATGTAGTTATAAAAGCAATTTTACCTCTTTTATTTCTACAGATTGTTTTGCAAATACACCACAGAAAAAAACAAAAAAACCCACCAAAATTTATGAAAACAAACCAGAAATAATTTTAAGTACACATCTAATTTTGATTTGTTAAAATAATTTGTTTTCTTTTAAA